AAAAAAAAAAAAAAAAAAAAAAAAAGGCTGGGCACAGTGGCTCACCCCTGTAATCCCGGCACTTTGGGAGGCCGAAGTGCGAGGATCATGAGGTCAGAAGTTTGAGATCAGCCTGGCCAACATGGTGAAACCCCATCTCTACTACATACAAAAAAATTAGCCGGGCGTGGTGGCACACACCTGTAATCCTAGCTACTCAGGAGGCTGAGGCAGGAGAATTGCTTGAACCTGGGAGGTGGAGGTTGCAGTGAACTGAGATCACGCCACTGCACTCCAGCAGCCTGGGCGAGGGAGTGAGACTCTGTCTCAGAAAGAAAAAAAAAAGACCATCCCCAGGAACGAGCAATGGACCCGACAGGGATGCCTAGAGAACAAAGAATACCAACCCATGTTTGTGGGACTGGTAACCGGCACAAATTCTTTACCCCTGGCTACATCCACATCCTTTGCTCTGTGATTTTACAGACCGACGTGTAGTTCACCTCTTGACCCTAGCCTTGAACATATACTTGCTCTGGCCAATGGAATGTGGGCAGGGCTGACTGTGCCTGTTCTGAGCCTAGGCCTTCAGGACAGAAGATGCTTTTCTGTTCATTGTTTTCTGTGTCTGTCATCAGCATAAGAAGAGTTTTCCCAGGTACTGCTGTCTTTCAGCCTCAGCCCCAGCATGATCGCACGTGGAGCAGATCTAGGCCCAACACTCAATGAGGAACCAGGCTCAGCTGGACCCATTATTTGAATCAGAGCCACCCAGCCAGGGCCAGCCTCTGTCAGTTGACCCTACAAGACATCATCAGCGAGTGCAGCTGAGATCAGCAGCGCCACGCCCGCCAACCCTCGCGGGAAAAAGAAATGCTTATTGTGGTCTGCCTTGGGGAAGGGTAGCTATAGCTACTTAACACACAAGGGAAAATAATGACAGAATCCTGCAGGGCCAAACTGCACAAGGCTTGCTCTGTGATACTCAGAACAGGGCGTGTGGACAGAAATGGCTAGGGAGGGCTTCCCGGAGGAAGGAGTGCCTTGATCAGAAAGAAGGCATGTTTGGAATGAGCCACAGCCTGGACCATAAGGAAGTCAAGAGTGGGAAGCAGGAGGAGGAGGCTGGCAGATCCCCCCACTCAGATACTGATTCCCTGACTTCACTGAGCAACAGGCACAGATATGATCTGAATGACTGATGCCAGCTCTGAAGGTGGCCAGCATCTTGTTTTTTTCTTTTTTTTTTTCTTTTTTTGAAATAGAGTTTTGCTCTTGTCACCAAGGCTGAAGTGCAATGGCACGATCTCAGCTCACTACAACCTCTGCCTCCCGGGTTCAAGCGATTCTGCTGCCTCAGCCTCCTGAGTAGCTGGGATTACAGGCACCCGCCACCATGCCTGGCTAATTTTTGTATTTTTAGTAGAGATGGGGTTTTGCCATGTTGGCCAGGCTGATCTCAAACCCCTGATCTCAGGTGATCTACTTGCTTCAGCCTTCCAAAGTGCCGGGATTACAGGCATGAGCCACTGCACCAGCCAGCATTCTTGGTTCCCATCCCAGGCTGCCAGGCCCCATGAAGCCCCCGGGCCTTGACCATGGGCCACGCCCTGCCCCCAGCTCACCACAGACAGGGATGCTGCATTCCTCCCTCCTCACGGTGGGGTCTGTAGTGTAGCACCAGGGTCCTGTGGTGCTGCCGTCAGGGTTGCGGCAGAAATTCTCCTGCAGGTCGGCCCCGGGATGGGTGGTGGAGTTGATTCTGGAACAGGAAATTGCCCAACAGGAGGCTGTTGCGCACGAGATATCCTTGCTTCCTGTTCTCAGCCCCTGGTGGAAAGGCCGGCCCCTCACTCACTCAGGCTTATGTGGGTAGCGACTCCTCCATAGCTGGCACTCAATGCCTGACCGGGTGATGTTCACATGCCCTCGGTAGTTCGTACCCAGACCCTCAGCACAGTTACCTGCGGAGACCCCACCCCAGTCAGCCTTGGAGCCTGGGGACTTATTTCCTCTCTCCCAGCAAAGTTCTGTCTATCCCCCACCTCCAAGCTCATGCAGGTCCACAATCCTTAACCTGCATTTACCCAGCCCCTCCTCCTCTGCATCCAGCAGTTCTCCCATTCACTCAACAGTGGCTGCCAAATATTTGCTGAGTGCCCACCATGTGACAGGCACTGTCGGGTGCTCAGCACACATCAACCAATAGGACAGTCACAGCCCTGCCCTCATGGAGCTTCCATTCAGTGGCTTCTCTTGGCCAGCAGGATGAAAAAGTGACCAAGGCCTTTTCATCTGGCCCTGGTCTACCTGTCCCTGCTAACTTGGCTCCTCGTGCCTCTGGGTCTTTCCACGGGCTGTTTCTTCTGCCTGGAATGCCCGCTTGTTCATCCATGCATCCCACCAGGCCAGGCAGAACTCTGCCTCTCCTGGGAAGTCATCTCTCTTCTGGCAAACCAGACACTCATTTTCCTGTGTTCTCTTGGTGCCTTGAACGGAACTTTTCTTGCAATCACTTTATTTATTTATTTTTTGTTTTTATTTATTTATTTTGAGATGGGGTCCTGCTCTGTTGCCCAGGCTGGAGTGCAGTAGCACGATCTCAGCTCACTACAACCTCTACCTCCCAGATTCAAGCAATTCTCCCCTCTCAGCCTCCCTAGTAGCTATGATTAAAGGCACGTGCCAACACGCCTCAGCTAATTTTTGTATTTTTAATAGAGGCGGGGGGTTTCACCATGTTGGCCAGGATGGTCTCAAACCCCTGGCCTCAAGTGATCCGCCCACCTCAGCCTCTCAAAGTGCTAGGAATACAGGCTTGAGCCCACCCGGCTGCAATCATTTTAATATTTTGTATTTTTGTTCTCTTTTGAGATTGTGAATTCTTGAAGGCAGAGACTGTATTTGATTCTCTTAAAATCCCCAGCACCTGATATAGTGCGGGGCACATAGCAGGAACTTTGTAAAGTATCTGTTGAGTATGTAATTTAACAAATGAGGCCGGGCGTGGTGGCTCACGCCTATAATCCCAGCACTCTGGGAGGCCGAGGCTGGTAGATCACCTGAGGTCAGGAGTTTGTGACCAGCCTGACCAACATGGTGAAAACCCATCTCTACTAAAAATACAAAAAATTAGCTGGACATGGTGGTGTGTGCCTGTAATCCCAGCTACCCAGGAGGCGGAGGCAGGAGAATTGCTTGAATTCGCTAGGCGGAGGTGGCAGCGAGCTGAGATTGCACTGTTGCACTCCAGCCTGGGCGACAGAGCAA